GCCCCCCCCCCCCGCCGCCCCGGCGCTTCCTCCCCCACCAGCCGGTGCCGGCCGGGGGCCCCCACGGTGGCCTGGCTGCCCCTGGGGAGCACCGCGGCCGTCAGGAGCCAAACCCCACGGCCCCCTCTGCCCCACGCCATGACTGTCCCCATGCGCTGTCCCCACCTGGGCCAGGCTAAATCCCACCCCATACCCAGGGAATCAGCCTTACGGGGATTTCCCAGTCGGGCACAGCCCTGGGGTCCTCTCCCGGAGCCTGGATGCAGCCCCCCGCTCCCCCAGCTGGCTCGGGGAGCCCAAGGGGGACTTGCAGCCAACACAGGGATACCGATGCTCGGGAGCCAGCTGTGCTCAAGCACAGACCTTGCCCGAGGCCATGGCCCATGTGAAGGGGGAGCCACCACGTGACCCCCGAGCAGATGCTCCGGTGACACCACTCTGAGCTTCTCCATCCCAGCAGGACCCTGCTCCACCCTGAACTTGGCCCGGGTGGCTCTCCCATCCCAGGGGACAGCCAGCCACAGCCCCACAAGCCCAGCCCAGGGACGTACAGCCACTGGATGTTGTTCTTGGACTTCTTGGTGATGAGCTGGATGCCCTCCAGGACGTTGGTGATGTCATAGATACGCCTCTTCTGCACCTTCAGCACCTCGGCCGCCCAGTTGAGGTCCACCACGCCATCGGGTGACTGGCTCAGCAGCTCCAGGAAGCGCTTGGTGGTGAGGTTCAGCGAGGTTTCATAGCGGGACTTCTCCCCGGGAGACTTTGCCCCTGCCAGCCACCAAGGACAACCATGATTTAGCTACAGGGGAAACCCAGTGCAGGAGCTGACAGGTCCCAAAACACCCCCCCACGCTCGCAGGTGGCTCGTGGACCACAGACCAAGACTGGCACCCCGAAACGCATCTGCTTTCTCAGGGCGATGGGGTGAACTCCCCACATCCTCCACGGGAAGGGTGCTGCAGGACCTGGCGTGGGATCCGACACCCGTGCTCAGTTGTAACCGCAAGCTCGGTTGTGGCACCAAGGTGCCAGGCAGGGCTCAGGGGGGAGATGATGGAGGGTCCGGGTGCGTCACCCTGGGCCACGGCCCTG